TACCAGAATGAGTGGGCCGATATATTCCATCTTTACACCTGACCTTGAGTTAATAAAAATATAGTGATGTGTTTTATTTGAAGATAATTGGACTCTTACATCACATTTTATGAGAGTTATAATTATTCAAAATTTTGACCCTTTGTGGGGGAGGAACTAGATAGAGTGGACCGACATTGTCCATTTTCTGCAGTAAACTATTTTCTTTGAAAATTTCGACCTTTTGTGGGGGAGGTACCAGAAGGAGTTGACCCATATTGTCCATCTCTGAGTTTGATCTATATTACGACGTACCAATTTGGACCAAATCGAATACTCCTTTCGAGAGCTATCGTGCGATCCAGCCAGACAGAGAGACAGACGGACGGACATCGCTAGAAAATAAACATTTCAAATATAATTTCAATACCTGTGCACAATTTCAAACTCTTCTCCAATGGTGCCAGCTCTATTATGATCGACATAGAACTTTACCCCAATTGACATACAATATACTTAATGGAGTCGTTGAGGAATATTTTGAGAAGTACGAAAGAATCCCTTCATTTTGATGAAAGGCATAAAAAAATAATCACCAGCAGAAAATTTCGACAGATGAGAAGTACGAACAAATCCCTTCATTTTAATGGAAGGCATAAAAAATAATCATCGACAGATGAGCTTAAAGATTGATTTTTCTTAGCAAATATGACGTTGGTAATGAACAAAATCAACTAATTTCTATAGATTCGCCATACACGAAAATTTGTCAATCACTTTAATGTGTTAAGAAATGTAATTTGTCAAAAAATCTATATTTCACGTCATCATTGCATACAGAATTATAAGGCTTCTCTTTGTTCTGTTCATTTCAAATTCCAAAAAATCAAAAAAAAAAAAAAAAAAAACATTTCAATGGATTCTCTTATTGAATCAAATAAAAAACGTGTTATTAATAGACAATATGCATATACTTTTGGGTCATTGCCCACAGAGCTGTCTAGAAGTATTAACAACAAAAAATGAGAGAAAAAAGAAAAACATCTGTACTACAGTTAAATTATTCATATTCGAACACGAAAATTAAAAAAAAAAACGGAATGCAATTGATTTTTTTGTTTGTCGTCGCGAGAGTGTCTCTCAGACAGACAATGAAGTGAATTTTTAGTAAAATGTTGCGTGCTAACACCCAATTGTACAAAATTTTAATTTCCTTGACATTTTTCAAAGAAAGTCTTATCGACAAGTGGTGGTTTTTTTTCAGAATCTTAAAACATGAAATATAAATTTTACATGGTTTTGAAATTTAATTTGAATTTGGGGTTTTTGGGAAAGATTTTAAAGAGGAATGCTTAATCAATATGTAATGTTCTTGTACTGTAATTTTATTTTCTATATTTGAAAATTTAATAAACCAATTTTAGTATTGATTACCATATAATATTTATATTTGTGTGGGACCATATCGTGGGAAAAATTCTATTTATTTTTATATTTTGAATACTATAAAAAAGCATATTAATCTTTCTCATATATAAATGTGTATGTGCTTCAAAAACAAAAAAATAAGTGTATTTAAAAAAAATAATAATAAGTGTTGTCAGGTGTTCCACCCACCAAGTCGTTATCTAGTATAGATCGTATCTGCTATACAGATTGAATAAATGGTTTTATGGTGTAATAATGGAATAATTTGGTTATAAAAGTTGTTGATAAAACGTTTGATAACGCAAAGTATTCGAAACTTAGGCAGTTGTTCTAATCGACTAAACAAATACATATATACATATCGTTATTCTAAAATTAAAAGTTGTTTTGCTTTCAAATCACTTACTATCAATTTTTTTTACAAAATTTTCAGATTTTCAATGTTTTATAGGTTATTGAAGTTTTTTCCTTTTTCGTAAAGAATAATAAGAAAATGTTTATATAAATATTTTGTTTCTTGTTTGTTAGTGGAGAACGATGGTAATGTTTACCAGAGGGTAAGGCAGGGAATACCTAAATTTCGGAAAGAACCACTAATCCTCATCAGTTGAGATATAGCTATCACTCCCATATATATGTTTCACCCCTTTTGGTGTTTCAGTCCTCACATTCGTAATATGCATTCGACAACAATGATATTTGGTGCCAGATATCTTATAGAGCTCGGAAATACATCTGCCAAATTTTATCGAGAACGACTTAGATAGACTTATAGCTCCCATATACATCCTTAATCCTATTTCAGGTTGAAGGACATACTATTCAAAAGATGTGTATTTTATAGGATGTCCTGGAAAAAATTGAGTGTTTTTAAAGATTTGTTTGAAGGTCTTCGGACCCAAAAGCGTGAATTTTGATAGACCTCCTGCAAAAAATATTGAATCCTTATGAAAAAAACATTTTTAGAGATAGAAATTTTTAAAGACAATTGCTGAATTTTCGAAAGATGTCAGTAACTGTTTTTAACGTCCTTCCTGATGTAAAATTTTAGATTTTTAAGAAAAAAAATTTTTTTGAAGTAACTTTCGGTCAATAATTCAAAGAAAATTGTTTGAGGGAGCTTTAGAAAATTGTGGAATTGAAAAAATGAAGGACCTTTTTAAGGTACACATCATGGTACCAAAAAAAAAAAAAACAGTAAGGAAAGCTCAAAAGTGGGGCGGGGCCGACTATATGATACCACTATGCATATTTAGTGGAGCTTTCGTAAAAGAGAGGTTTATATTGGGCATTTCTGAGCTCTATGAGATATCTGGTACAAAATATGATTATGGTAGAGTGCATGTTCCGAAAGTTGGAGATTTAAACACCGAATCGGATGAAACATATATATGGGAGCTATAGCTATATCTGAAGCGATTTTCATCAAATTTTAAGTATTAACTTCTTGAATGAATTCGCTTGGAAATACAACATTTCACTCACTTTGGGCTGAAATTAGCCATTTGGTGCACAAGAAACCTAAAATCGGACGAAGATATATAGGGGTGCTATATCCAAATCTGAACCGATCTTGATAAAATTTGAATTTGCTGGGCTGAATCTAATATCTGGTACTAAATATCATTTTTGTGTGAATGAGAGGGACATAAATACCAAATCGGATGAAACATATGTATGGGAGCTATAGCTATATCTGAAACGATTTCCACCAAAATTGAAGCACATGCTTGTAGGCTGAATTCGGTCGGATGTACCAAAATTCACACCATTTGGACCGATATTAGCCATTTAGTGCACAAGAAACCTAAAATCGGATGAAGATTTATATATATGGGGTCAGTAGGGTTCGTCCTTGAGCCAGACAAATGTTATTTAGAAAATTTCATCTCAATCGAATTATAAATGCGACCTGCAAACAAAATACCAATGGACAGACAGACAGACGGTCGGATGGACAGACGGACGGACTGGCATAAATCTACTTAAAATGTTATTCTATTTTGATCAACAAAAGGAACTATGGGTCTATCTCGTTTCCTTTTCCATGTTACAAACAAATGCACAAAGTCATAATACCCTTACCACTACGTGGTGTAGGGTATAATTATGAATATATTTATATTTTTTTTGAGTTTTTTGCAAATATTCACATTTTCGATGTATATCGTGTATATTTTAAACCCTCAGTCGTATTTTATACGGTCAACACGTGCCTAGTCGAAACAACAGTATTAGACCCTAATTCTCTTCGGACCAAATTCGTTTCAGGAAATTTGGAGTCGATCTGTCGATGTCTGTCCGTCTTTCTGCCTGTCCGTCTGGCGTCTCGATTTGGTTCAAACTTGGTACATCGTAATATTATTGTCAAACTTACATCGAGTTCGGAGTTGTGCAAAATCGGTCCACTCCTTCTGGTACCTCACCCACAAAAGGTCGAAATTTTCAAAAAAAAAAAAAAAAATAATAAACTGCACAGAAAGAGACCGAATAATCCTAATCTTAATATTTGCATCAATGCTAGTTCTGATGTTAAGATGGAATAAATCGGCCCACTCCATCAAGTACAAAGGGTCAAAATTGTGAATAATTATAACTCTTATAAAATCTGATGTTAGAATCCGATTGTGTTTAAATTACCCACATCTGAATATTCTTATTAACCCAAGGTCTGGGGTGTAGATGAAATATATCGGTCCATTCCTTCTGGTACTTCCCCCACAAAGGGTCAAAGTTTTGAATATAAAATCCGATATAGGCATCCGGTTCTCTTCATATTTCACACATCCCATAATTTCCACAAACACAAGATCTGCTGTGAAGATGGGATATATCAGTCAACTCCTTCTTGTACCTCCTCACAAAGGGTCAGAATTTTGAATGTCCATGAAGTTTATAAAACGCGAAATTAATATCCGATTCCTTTCAGACGTGGTACATCTCAATATTTCCATCAATACAAGATCTGTTATAGAGAGGGTACACGTCGGGCCATTCCTTCTGGTACCTCCAGCAGAAAGAGGCAACGTTTTGAATAACCAAAACGATTATAAAATCCATATTTCATTTCATATTTCACACAAACCCAATTATTTCTACTAACATAAAATCTGCTGTGAAGATGCGATATATCGGTCTACTACTTCTGGTACATTTCGACAAAGAGTCAGCATTTTGAATGTCCATGAAGCCGTTAGGTTCGATACGAAATGGACAATATTGGCCCATTCCTTCGAAACCTTCTCCATAGAGGGTCAACAATTTGAATTTCATATCTGAAGCCAAAATATATTTAAATAATCGATCATTGGCTGAGGGTATACATCTGTCGGCAAAACCGACTTATTCTTTTTCATTTGTTGTTTTTAACATTACCCAATATTATTGCACATGAGAAACGAATTAAATTAAAGTCCTTTTCACCATTGAATTGTTTAACTTTCAATATATATACATCTTATTTTTAAAATTACACCTCAAATATTCGAATTATAGATCTTGATTTAAGAAAAATTCCTTGGGGTCTTTCATAGCAGACAAATTGAATTTATCTACCACTTCTTCTTCGTTCAAATAGTGCCTATGAAACTTACCATATCGAAACCCACATCATAGTGGGTGCCACGGGTATACAGGATGGGGATAGCCTGGCGACGAGGAATATTTTTAGCGGTCATTTTCGTTGGCTTGGTAACGTTAACGTGTGCGATTAAATAAATGGAGACAATAACAGTTATTTAACGCCAAGATATTGAATTAAGTCAACAGAGCGTCTTATCACGATTTCAGTGCTCTCAATTTTCAAGAATATGAGACGTTAATCTGAAATGTTTACACTGATATTTTTTATTATTATTGCAAATAACACTTGATTGTGAATTCAGTGCACACACTTTAACGTATTATCGTTTTGAATTATTATAAAAAAAACAAACAACAATAATAATAAATTGATATCTCCAATGTGTTTATATTTTATTTATTTATTTTATTTTTTTGGTTTCACAATCACATTTGCTGTAGTGGGTGATTTGATTTGAAAAAAATTTTAATAATTTAAAATTTCTTTTTTCTTTTTTGAGGATTCCGTTTTCCGTTTGAAAATTTTCTATTGTTCCGTAGCGCTTAACAGTAATTCTCAAACTAATTGCTTATGAATTCGTGGCCAGCTATGTAACTTCGCTTTTATTTGTTTATTGTTGGGTGGATGAACGGATGAATGAATGGTTGGTTGTTCGTTTGGTTGACTGTTGGTTAGATGTCGATTGGTTGGTCGGTCGGTTGACTCTCTCACCATGTTTTGTTTTCGGTTTCGTTTGCAACAACAACATCAGCTAAGGTGTTATCACATTTTACTGTCTCTGGCCGCCGACCACCATCAATCCTCCGAATCTAATAAAACGACGACGACAACGACGACCAGAGTGATGACTTTTGTCGGCTTTAGGTGCCGTCATTGTGTTGATGTTTTTGCTGTTTTTGGCGCTTAGGCTATTATGCGTTAGCATGCCGTTCTCGTAAAATCACCAATATTTACAAATAAAATTCTCCATTAGCTTTTCATTCTTGCTAGAACGTTAAATCTCTTATACTGGCAACCTGTACAGTGTTGAGCATAAGTGAGAAGCGAAAAAGGCTTAGATATATTTGATGGTCGTAAAATAGATTAGATTTAAGCACAAGTTCTTCAATTTGCTTTAAGCTAGGCCTTTGGGATTTCCCTTGTAGAAGATTTACTAGAGGAAGTGGGTCAAAAATGTGGACCATTTTATGGGGGAATACTGTGTTCCAACATTGTCCTCCTGACCTAAGTCTCAGTTATATATTACCATAGACCACATTTGGACGTTATCGGTTATCAGACTCCCTTTGTATGACACATATGAGCCAATATTGTCCATTTCGCTCCTGTCCTAAGCTATTACGATGCACAGACTTCGAACAATATCGGGTACTGCCTACATTGAATATGAGATTTTTTTGGAACACTGAAACTATTGTGGAGGATGAGGAGGTATCGTTATCACAAATGATCTAATATAGGAGAAAAAAACAGTCAGGAAAAGTCAAAAATCTGTCGGGCCGAGAACATGATGCCCTACACCACTACTCTCATTTAGTGCAGCTACCCGTTACATATACACGCTTATATTGAGAATTTATGTGAAGTAGATCATTTCAACTATGAACCTTTTCTTTTCCTGCTGCGAATCGGGGCTTTACAGTAGTTATAATTTGGAATGGGAAAAACTAATATATTGGAGGTATATCCTATTCCGAATCGAATTCCAGCAAATTTGACGGAGGTATTTGTACCTCTCGTACTAAATAACATTCCTACAAAGTACATGATAGGACTTCGATAGGGATTATATTAAAAAATATTTATTGGAGCAAAAGATATATCGGACTGAGTTTCACCAAATGGAAAAATTCGGTTGAATATGAAAAAATCTATCCAAAATGGCCTGATATTACATTTATGGTGGACAATAACCGTAAAATCGGATGAAGATATATATCGAAGATATATAAAAATCTTAGCCGATAGACCCATAGTTACTTTTGAGAATCTTCACTTTCTGAGTCGATTCATGCATGTCAGTCCGTCTACCGTCCGTCTGTCCATGTATTCTAGTAAACAAAATGCAGCAACAATATTTGTTTGGTCCAAGGACGAATCCCATTGGAATTGGTTATAATCGGTTCAGATTTAGATGTAACTCCCATATCTCTTAAACTGATTTCGGATTAATTGTGCACCAAATAGCCAATATCATTCTAAATAACCTGAATTTTGTCACATCCGACGGAATGCAGTCTAGAAGCGAGTGCATCAAATGTGGTAAAAATCGGCATAGATATAGCTATAGCTCCCATATATATGTTTTATCCGATTTGGTGCTTAAGTCCCTCACATTCGTAATATTTATTCGACAACAATGATATTTGGTACCAGCTAAAAGATACAGCCAAGAAATATCTCTGCCAAATTTTATGAAGATCGGTTCAGATTTGGACATAGCTTCCAAATAACCTAAAATTTTGGAAAACAACAAGTGGCTATCGTTAGAGTACTCCAGCATTTAAATGTGAATAAATCTTTTGTGTCTCGTACCATCTCTCATTACCGTGATACTGGTAGCGGAGCGCGACGTCAAGGAAGTGGACGGAAGAAAACAGCAACATCAGCTTGATCGAAAACCGGGTCGCAGTGGCCGAAATGGCTCCTGAGTTGAATATATCGCAATATTCCATTCGGCAAATATTGAAAAATGAGCTCGGGATAAAGCCATTGAAATTCTAAAAAGTGCAAGAACTTAAACCACGGCAAAAAGAAAATTGACACAAAAGAGCTAAAGAATTGTTTCGCTTGGCCGAAAGTGGTGAACTGCCGAATTTCGTTTTCTCCGATGGGAAAACATTCGTTGTCCAGCTTTTTGTAAACAAACAAAAAGATCGCGTTTACTTGCCAAAGAGGTCAGCTGAAAATGTATACCTTCGGTTGGCCACCAGAACTCAAGCAGCGGCCATGGTGATGGTATGGACCGTCATCACAGCTGATGGTCGCCCTCCGCTGTTATTGGCCGACCGTGGCATCAGAATAAATGCCGAATATTATCGCGAAAACATTCTGGAGGGCTGCAGAACTTGGACATTCCAACAGCACTCCGCACAATCACACTCAGCACGCGCCACCCAAGAATGCTTACAAAATGAGGTTCCTCGCTTCATCCGAATACCAATCCGTTGGCATTAAAAAATACCAAACTGTCGATCACCTCAAGCAAGAGCTTTGCCGGAAATGGTTTCATTGGCCGTCTGAAGGCCATAATTCGTGCCAAATGTGACCAATTCGAACAAATCTAAACTTATTCTATAATTTGATGATATTTCCGACATTTTTTGTTTTTATTCAATAAAATTTACAAAATTATTAAAATGATGGCATTTGACTTTGTTGCACTATATTATCTCACCCTGTATATATTCCATTTTTAATATCAAAAGTCATCATTTAGTATTTTGATCCACTGAGATATTATATATCGCCCACAAAGGTTCCAAAATTTTAATAATTGTAGCAAATAAATTTGTCATTTATTTCCAAAATATTTCTACTCAAAATATAGTGTCATATTGGGATCTATACTCTTCTTTAAAACTTTGAAAATCCTGATTCTCAAATAAGTCCGTGGAAGTACACGTTCAGATCAAAACTACAGTAATCGTTATAAAGCTCAGATATTTTAAAAAAGGTCAGAACTCCCAAAATGGAATATGAACCCCGATTTGGTCAAACTTAGGTTACCAGAAGGTCGACTTTACTCCTAACTCTGAGTGTATAAAGACAAGGAAGAAGTAGTGGTATATCGTTTACCTTTATGGGTACTGGTTATTATACGTTCTAGATGTTTGATTGTGTTTCAATACAGAATTTTTGCTTTTCCAAGTTTGCATGCCTCTTTCCTTACTTTTTGCACCTCTGATTTCAACTTGAACATTGTCAGGCCAGTGGTAATGCTGACAGCTTATTTCTGTGATTTGCCTAAAGTTCAAGGCTTATGCGGAACTACTAAACAAACTTGTGTTCTAGAAGGCCCCCAATTCTCCAGGTAACTTTTGATCTTCAATATTTTTAGGGGTTATAAGGCAAAGAGATTGAAGGAAATGAAAGGAATTTCTGTTTGGGGATTAAATCAAAAAAATGTTCCAATTATTGAAAACAAATAAAATATTAATTAAATTCGAGTAAATAATTAAAAATGAGGAACAAATAATTTGCTAAAATGCTAATTGTATTGTGGTTTAGGTCATGTACCCCATTAAATTGTATTGAATAAGTAGATTTTGTGCCTATCCCCATAGCACGCTAAGTGTATTGAACTTAGCTTAACGATTTTATTCTAATTCTACAATTGATAATTCCGATTGAAAAATAAAATAAAAATATATGAATAAAACAAAATATCATTGTATTTGTTTGAGTTATTACTTTTTTACTGATTCCGTAAGGTTATTTAATTTTTTCATCGTTTGTTTTTATTTATTTTCAGAAAAGTACATGATTTTTGGTAAGGTAAGTAGTACACAGAATTTATTTAAATGTTTAGAGAGATAATTTTTTTTTTTGTAACTTTAAAACCAGATATTAAAATATGGCAACCAAATCGTTAAATGCTTTTAAGTAACCGATTAATATTATAAGGTTTAATACATTTTTGGTTTGTAAATCGCTGGAATTTGTTTTTTTTTTATTCTATTTTGGTGTAATAAGTAATATTTTCTAATTGAATATACTTTCATTGAATGTCATACTCTTGCATAGAAATCAATAAATTAAGGATGTTATGGTAATTTTTAAGCCGTTTCAAGTGTTACATACAAAACAAGAGGTAAAATTGAACGAAGTGTTCCTCATACCCTATACTACATATTGGTAAGGTATTACGTCTTTGTGAATTTGTTTGTAACATGGGAGATGTGAGATGGACCCATAGTTCCTTTTGATGATCTGTATAGTCGTCATTCTGAGTCGATTTATGCATGTCCGTCTGACCATGTACATGTACCATTTTTTTGTAAACAAAGTATCCCGATGACATTTTGCACAAGTCGTATATTTGACCCAAGGACGAAACCTCGGTCAAAAATTAGATATAGCTCCGATATATATCGCAGATCGACTCAGATATACCCATGGCTCCCATATATATTGTTCATCCTTTTTGTTATTTTTGTCTTCCGCACTCTGCAAAAACGATATTCGTGGAAGAATATCAGAAATGTCTTTGCCAAATATTATCGAGATCGATTTAGATTTGGATATAGCTCCCTTATATATATATATATATATATATATAAGTTAATGTTAGAAGTTAAAGTTTATTTCACACTGCTATGGTGTTTCTTTATTTTGTTACTAACATTTATGTTGCGGTGCTATGCACCTCTCTTGTTGGATTTACAATTATGAATTACTTCAACTTAAAACTAATATTATACTGCAGCCTGGTCGTGCTCGTTATTACGCTGAGTCATCACTTGCGGTGCGCTGGTATTAGTGCGCGTGTTTGTGGCGGATGACTGCCCTGGTGTCATATTCCTGTTGATTTGTCGGACTGCTTGCGCAGCATAATGATGGGAATGTTTACTAGTTGGTTTGCATATTTAGTTTGATGTTTATTAGGGTGAGCCGTTAACTCCTCCCTCTCGAATTATCAAGCGTCTCGATTGATGTGTTTAGAAATATGGCAGATTATAAAGACTGCCGCGTTGA